GTACATACAAAAATCAGTTAAGCCAGTGTGAGTTGAGGGGTGCAGAGATGAAAGGCTTGTGGCATGCAAAAGCTTTTGTTTATAGAGGGCAGCACTGAACGTGAATAGCTATGTATGTGAGCGGAAGTAAGGTACCTTGTCGGAATATAAATAATTACAAAAATGAAATAGTCTATATATTGTAAAATTAAGTATGTGTGTATAGACAATAAAAAATATATTAGAAGGTATCTGATGAAGAAAACAATATAATTGACCTAATTTACGATTTACCAGTGAAATAAATGACAGGTAAGCCTAAAATAAGAAAGACATTTATTAAGCCTAATCTAATGTTATAGTACAAAGGATTTCACTAAGCTCTAATTGAAAACACTAACCTTATAATAAGTATTTACAAATCTAACTAAACTTAAGTTATTGAACCCAAATGACAACAAATAATAATATTAAGATAAGAAAATATTCAAAATCTATAACAGTAAATCAGCTTATCTGTCCAAAGTTGGCAGACCATAGTCAAAATGTGTGGGCCCCCAAACTCGAGGCCCAACGATGGTCAACTCATAACGATCAATCTCCTGATGTATGAAAACTGAAAATTCCTCCGTCGAGTACTGCTACTTTAAGCTGTAAGTGTGCTAGTAGTAAATGAGATCACTTTCAAGGTGGAAACATAAACTCCGGTGAAAATTTAAAAAAATGTGAGAAGAGAGCACAAACAAAAAATGTCATGACAATAGCACAGCCAAATGAAAAGTGATAGTTTGGTAGAATCGAATAGAGGGAGTCACGTGTCAGGAGGGTGATGATTTACATGTGAGACAGTTGAACCATGCTGATCACGGAGTAGGTGGGAGCTCAAGGCTTGTGGCATGTGAAAATGTTTTTCATATAGAGGGCAGTACTGAACTAAAATAGCTATATTTGTGAGAAGAGGTATGTTGTTGTTCATCACTTCTTTGGTTGTATTGTTCATCATTTATTCAAATAATAACATAATTAAGCAGAAAATTAGGCACACACACACATATACACCTAACTTGCTCCTTTTGGTACTTTCTGTGTAGTATTCCCATGTAACACTGAAACTGACAGGCAAGTATTAAGTCCCCAGAAACAGAAGGTTCTTAGAATTTGTATGCAGAATATTATTAAGTCAAATCTGACCAAAAGGGACAAGAAGAACACAGTTGTATCACTCTGAAATAAAGAAACTTCTTTACTGACAATGTAAACATGACATTTAAAGTCTGCTTAAAATGGTCAGCTTCACCATGTGCATAACAACTTTGCACTTAACTGTCACCAAGGCAAATCTGACTGGAAATGAAAACAATGGACATTTTTACAAAGGCAGGTTTTGATGAAAAATTAACTTAGTTACTCAAATTCAAACCCTACCAGGTATTCTTTGAATGTCACATCACTTGTGTCAGGAGATTAGGTTCATTATTCATAAAAAAGGAAACTATGCCAAATTATGTGAACATTGCAAACTTATCTAATGTACTGACCACATACTGAAACACACACACTTGCACAAGACCAGATCCATAAGTGACTGACTATGGTCAGGATTGAAGGTAGTTCACAACAGAATTCATTCTGTTCAGATAAAATGCTTGTTTGTTTTTAGTTAAGCACAAAGCTACCCAATGAGCTATTTGTGCTCTGCCCATCAACTCGTGTTGCAGACATACCTCTGTGCCTCTGGAGTGCTCAGATAGAATGACTAATTACAAATAACCTATACAAAAATTTTGAAAGTTCCTAAATAATTGTATGTTAATTTTCAAATTTATGAAAGGATTACAGTCATGATATTTGCATACTACATTAGGAAACTTCAAAGAGAAAAACCAGAGTTAATATAAATGAAATTAATTAATTTAAGCAGCTTACTATAGACTTTATTTGGATAGTTATTCTTAAAGTCAAAAACTATTACTGCTACTTAACTATAAGTTCTGTGTCTTCTTTACTATTAACTGAAACAAGTTTGTACATATTATGGGTCTAGTCCTGACTAAATTTCAATTTCTGTAACTTGTAGAGTTTATTCAATGTTATAACATCTGTACATTATTTAATCAAGCTTGATTATCCACAGACAAAAGTTCAAATATTTATTAAGAACTGACATTAGTAATTCTTTTATAGGTGATTTTGGCAGTTTTCATGATGATCAAACAAAGTTAAAATGGGCAGCACCAGTCTAGTTCAGAGTGATACATGATGAGAAGTCTTGGAATGAGACAATTACAGACAAAATGACTCAGATAAATTCTAGAAAACACGAAAAATCAAAGAATCTTTTTAAATCAACATGATGAAACCATCACCAAACAGAGACTCAGGACAGGAAATTAGCTGTTTATGATTACCATTGGTGAAATCATTACTTGTTAAACCAAGCAAGTTACAAGAACCACCAGCTAATCACATCACATTCACATCAATCCTCCCAGATACCAAAGAAACCCATGTAAAAACTAGTGGAAATTGACCTGAAGATGAATGTATTTCCAATGTCATCTTTTCCACCCGAGCTACTTTTGTAGATTAGTCCTCCAAGACCCTCTCATGTCACTCCGAACTAAGCAACTGTTGCCCATTTCAACTTTGTTAATTAACTTTAGTGACATTTGAGTTTCTTTTACATGTGCATTTGCACTTAATCTACAAATCATATTTATTCTTTTCACACACACACTAACTGATAATAATAACAAGTAGATCAGAATAATTCTTTTAATTTTGAAAATCAGGTGAGTTTTAATCAACAACAGTACACACCCATACATAGAAACTTAACAACTAATTAACAATCTTTTAGTTGAGTAATTTTTGGGACATTTCTAACTGATCTTCCTTGAAACTAATATAAATTTAAGTACTTCATTTGCTCAAAAGTAAAACTATTAATTTGATCCTTATAGCAGTTTAAAATTATTTCCTCACGGCTCTCATAAAAATGATTAAAAACAAAATATTATACATTTAACACCAGATTAAATCAATACCTCATTTTGCCAGAAGAAAAAAAACAAAAAAACAGTTATTACTAAATAACACGGTGATCACTTTACAATTACATGGAGGAAAATCTATTATAAAACAAAAATCAAAGCATACCTCAGCAAGAACAAACAATGCTTGGACAGTGTATTGACCAACAAAGGAAGTCAAACTACTGGTATTGTGAATAGTGGCTACATGAACCAAGTTTCCAACTGAATTTGAAGAAGTTGTTTGTGTAATGTTTTCTGTGAAAAAACAAAATACTTAATAGTTATTCTTTATATAACTTTTGTCATAAGTAAAACAATAACATTTAAGAGAACACTATACATAATTAATGCAATTCAACCATCAAACACACTTTTAGATTTTAGAAATTTCTTGACAGGTCATTCATTAGACTATCTAACTAGTTAGTTACACTTACTAAACAACAAAAAACACACTAAGTTATAACAAATCAAATGTTATAAATCTGGTAACATCAACCTAAACTTGACTTTACTAAGTCTACAGTTTCAGTCTTTAATTATTCAGTCAACCACTGATTATGTGGTCACATTTAAGTTATACAAAAAGTGCATTAAATTCAAAACCCTGTCATGACTAAGTTATAATTTGATAATTCTTAACCATCAGAGAAAACTGTACCATCTATACTGTTTCTTATTAATAATGCACAAAGGTTATTATGTAGTTTAAGAAAATGATTAAATATCAGCAGCTTCCGTATAATAAATTAAATACAATTTTACAGCTTAAATGATATATTTCTAAACTGAAAAATTTTACCTTAAAATGTTTGAGTTCATGCACTTATCACATGGTTTGTTTTATTGAGTTGCACAAAAAAAAATACTGGAAGAAAATGTTTGAAATTTGAAATGAATTTCCTATAGATTATGTAATTTGTGTAAAATAAAGTAGTATTGTTTGTGCGTGATATTTGTGTGAATTTTCAGTTTTGGAAATCTGAAAAGATTTCTTTGTGAAAATGTTTTTAAGAAACAATTAAGTATGTTTATCATTGGCATAGATTTCAATCACTGATGTTTATTCCTTCCTACATTCGCATAAAACTTTCTTTATAGTTTTTATTTTGTAGAATTGTAAATTTTGCAGTTTTTTTTTTAAAAAAACCGCACACACAGTTTCAATGTGTCTACAGTCACTGTCATACAATAAAAACGACTTTTCTACCATACTAAATTTATGAGCAAACCCACTTTTTAAATTATTTATCAAAAGGTTTCATTTAATAAGTTCATTTAGTTTGTATTCATTGATATATATATATATATATATTTAAATGTGGTATCAGAGTCTTCCTTGACCACTCAATCATTTACTTAAGCCAACAAAACCTAATATAAACACACATTGACCTTGTCAGTGAAACATAACTTGATTTTACAAGCAAACTTCATAATAATTTCTTTTAGACAGATTTGCCATGTTAAACCAAAATGAAATGCATATCTCTCCAAAGGCTGCCAATGGTAACCTAAATATATACTATTGGTAACATTATAAGATGGGAAAGAAGGAATGTTAAATCTGTAATTGTAAATCAATTTTTGCAGTATTTTGTGGGTATATATTTCTACTTGCATGTTTGAATGTTACAAACCTTGACTTTTTTAAAATACTGGAACAAACAGAAAGTTATTTAAATATAATTATAATGAATAGTGTGTTGTTGAATTATTACTAAACATTCTTTGATAGATTGTTTAGGCAGAGTATTCATGATGAAACTTTGTAGAATGGATGCAACTGCCTGTTGTAGAGACACAAGTGTAAATGATGAAAGACGGAAGACTTTCGAAACATCGTCCTCTACATTTGTGTCTCTACAATAGGCAGTTGCCATCCCTTCTAAAAAATTTCATCAATACTAAACATTATTATTAACATTTCTATCTGCTGATAAATGATTGAGTACATCTACTTTTAAGCTGATAATATGATTCAAATAATTCGCTGCAAGTTCATTTGACAATACATGACCAGACCCAGAAAAGTTAATCATCGCAGAACAGCAAGAGAAAAATTCAAACTTCATGAAAGATCTTGTTGTGGCTATCTGATACTATGAATAATTGAAAAACTTATAAAACAAATAGTTTATAATAGCTTAAAAATGGAAGTAAAATAGAATGTAACTAAAAAAAGTGTGAAGCTCTAAATGGGAAAATATGTTTTTGTGGGATTGGATACTAATTTTTGCCCTGCTTGGCTGTGTATTGGACATTTTCAGATATTTTCATTATTTTTTCTAGTTTTGTACCCTAGAATTTCAAGTAATTTATTTTTTATTATTTAAAGAATTTGTAAAATTTATTAATTAAATTTAAAAAATGTGTTTTTGTTGAAAAAAAAAGCTGTCATTTATTTAAAGTCAAGACAGTGATTATCATATTGGTATTCTTGTATTAATATTTTTCAATAGAAAGTATAGCATTTGCAGGCTACAATTTTCATAGAGTTAAAATTAAGAATACACACTTAAAGTTTCGATTATTTAAATACTTTTTTTGTTAGCTATGTTCATTGCATAGTTTCAATTTCTGAAGTTATATATTTTAGTAAAAATAACCCTTGAACTTTTTAATCTTAACATATAATTACATAAATTAATTTTCTGCATTCCCATTTTTTAACCAATTGTGGTATTTGTCATACCATGCATTTTTGATAAGTTGATTTCATTCTAGCTGCTTTTGTTCATTTGTCATTCTAATGACGAAATGCTTGTTCTGCCCATGGGAGGAGACACATGGCTGTAAATGTTGTATGTTATGTAAGAAAGTCAACAGCCAGTGTCCTCCAATCGTATGCAAGATGATATCTCGAGGTTATGGCTTCTCCTTTGTTTGAATGAGAATGACCAATGATATGAGTATCTCTAGTCAGTATGGGTAAATCTGACACTTCTCTTTAAGTAAGAAATGTTATATTCAAACATTCACGTACCAGACTTTGAGTAAATTGGTTAGCAGGAAGACGTCTTGAGGAAAAAGGCCGGTTTTAATTGATTCATGAATCCAGTGAAAGGCACTCAACCAGTGTCCAAAATCAAATACACTGTGTTTTTCTTTTCATTTCTTAAACTCAGTTACTTTTAGCTAAATTCAGTATCACTCCATAATATAACCTGCCAATCCTCATGTTATATAGCTGACCTACTTAATTTACTGTTTCGACTGAAAATACCATGCTATTTCTTTTGTACAACTTTACTGTTCAAACTCTGTCTTGAATGAAAGCATGTAAACCAATGACTATATAGAAAATATGGAATATATATATGTATATATATAAAAGTTAGTCTGATATAAAAATAGAGAAATTAGAGGAGGTAGAAAAGGCTAACAAAGGAAGAAATACAATACTTATTCTTTGGTTTCCAAGCTGTTTCATATTTCAAAACATCAAGTAAAATTTATAAAAGCTTCATTTCTATAAAGAAATTGTTCATTGAAGTTTTCAAAAATGTTTCATTTTATAATTTGCATAATAAGCAAAGTGAACTGCAAAATATAATTTTGGCTCCAAAATTACCATTTTGTTTAACTTACCACCAAAGTTGAACTGTGAAGTTGCAATAAAACAAGAACTATGGTTTACTTAGTTAGTATTAACACAATAATATTCTTACTAAAATCTGAATATAACTCACTAGCAATGGATTTTTGCCCAACAAGGTGATATGTATGAAGTAGAAATCATGAAAAGGTATTTTTCTACACAGATTACAAATGCTTGATAACTAAAAAAAAACTTAATTTTTATGTATGACAAACCTACATGTCAGACAAAGGGAGAACAAGCACATTAGCAAATGTATAATAGAAACTTAACAAAGAATGATTATCCAAATAAGGAAATGAAAATGTTACAGTAAATCCTTGAGTTGATCAAATACATTCTGAGATATAATTTAAGAAGTAGAAATCATTGATCTTTCTTATCTACACAAAACAGACAAGTCACAGCAGAAAGAAAAGAATGAATCCTTATGTTAGCTGCACCAAATTAAAGAAAGAGAGCAGTATAAAAAATAAGTAGCAAAACTGACCAGAAGAAACAAGTGGAGAAATCATATGTAGAAAGACTGGTTTTAAACAGCTTATTCAATTAACAGTTAGTTTTGGTTCAATTGAAGGACACAGACTTGCCAACTGAAAGAAAGAATTACTTACAAAATAACTGTGGGTTACTTGTTGAGGAATTGGAGGAACACTCCAAAAAAAAAGTTTAAAACATGTTTTTTGCTTGGAAAGAGAGCTTGTATACTGAAATTTACTGCTGCAAGACTTACTGCCCAACTGATCAGAAGAAACAAGTGGAGAAATTAAATGTAAAAAGACTGGTGTTAAACAGCTTATTCAATTAACCAATTAACAATTAGTTTTGGTTCAATTGAAGGACACAGATTTGCCAATTAAAAGAAAGAATTACTTACAAAATAGCAATAAGAATAAACATGAAAAACAAGAACTTGACTGCTGCAAGGCTTACTGCCCAACAGTATCCTGATTTTCCAAAATTGTTGTTAGACTATGATGATAGCTGTATTACAACGAATTGAAATCCTTTACCAAACAAACTCTCTGTGAGTTGTCATTACTATCCCTCTCTAATTTAACAATGCATTAGTAAAATTGTGTGTAATTTCTGAAGATAAGTCATATTAGAAAAGAATTCATTTGTAGCATTAGCAAAACTAATTGATGAAGTAAGAAAGTTGTTAAAGGATATTCTCAAAGAAGTTAACTAAACATAATTATGTCAGAATGTATTTCTCGTATTAAACTAATTGATAACTTGTGCAGTATAGTTTCGATGTTAATAAATCTTATGGATGATTTAACCCTTTCAACATGGATTCAGTCAATTTGACCCACCATGTGACCTCTTTGTATTTGTTTAGTCTTTATAGATTTAACACTTCTAACTTTCAATATAGTGTGTGTGTGTGTGTGTGTGTATATATCTTCAAAAAATTTGACAATCTTTCAGTTAACATTATAAGTCTTTCATATACAAAAAATCATATTTTTTATTTAAGTATTTTTAATAAACTAAAATAAAGATTTGTCCATGAACATATTATTTGTTTTGAATAGTCTGTGTGCAAAGTAATTTTCATGTTAAGATTAAAAATACTTTTCTTCATCTAAAATTCCCTTTGCGTAATCTCTAAAACCTCCTAAATACATTTCAAATGTGTTTTTCAGTA